TTGGGGCATAAAATGGGGCAAAATTCCATTAACAAATGTTAGCAACAGAAATTTTGGGCTCAAGTATGATCAGAAGTCAAAGACTACCTGTATGTGATGACCCAGAGTATATCAGAAATATAACAAAAACCAAAACGTAACTAAAAGTCCTTTAATGCCTTCAACTTGGCTTCACTGTTTAATTGTTCACAGTGGAGGAGTAAACTATTTTCAAAATAACATTTCAAAGGAAAGAAACACAGTTCAAATTCAAAGAGCCAATAAGGAAGCAAAAACCAAAAACAAACAGCACTGAATAAAGTTCCAGGACAGACCAGGATAGATAATTGCCAACTTCAGGAAGATAACCAGGGACAGTCTGTTGGAAGAACACCAACCAAGATAAACCTTCTTTAGGAATAAAACACTACTTTGTCTCCAGCGTCTGTTAGCATGCAGGTCCAACCTTTTATGCAGATCTCACACCTGCAACCCATGAAGAGGAGCAAGGCCCTCTCCTCCCAAGTAGACCATGTTTTTCCCTGATCCTCTCCTCCCTGCATGCCCTAGGATGGATAGGGGATGGGCCTGGGTCCTCCTCTGACTGCCCAGCCGGCCTCTGCCCTTCCCCAGCCTCCTCCACCACCTCTGGAGCCACACTTCCACTCCCTGTTGGCTGTTCCTCCTCTTCCTCAGAGTCAGTCTCCACCAGGGACATGACACTGTACAAGGCTATTAACCGTATTTTGTTTCTTTGGATTTAAAAGCTTGGAAACTAGGCATTTCCTGGGCAGATGCACAAACGGGGACTTTATGAAAAGGAGAAGCACAAATCAGCAGCCAGCTTAATTTTTATTTTACGTTTTCTGAGGCGAGAGGGAATTCCCCGCTACAGCCTTTTCCCTTAGAAGTTCATAGCTTGAGCACATCTGGGTCATTCTGGATGCAAAGCCGGCTGAGGGATTCTGGGAGTTGAAGTCCACAAGTCTTCAAATTGCCAAGGTTGGAGACCCCTGCTCTATACATCACTCTGTTGTCAATGAACATTTGATGTCCTTGACGGTTGTGAAAAAATGCCCAGTGGTTTCCTTCTTAAGGCAGGTACATTCTCAGAAAAGGTCATTTTTAGGAGATGGGAAAAAAACAAAACAGAAATTGCAATATAACCCTTGTAAAAAATGACTGAATGAAGCTGGACAATTCCAGACTAGACTCCTAATTTGGAAGCAGCTTCAATCTCTGAAGAATAATGAAAAACAAATCTTATTTAGGTGTCTTTCCTTCCATTTTTCTCCTCTAGTACTAAAAAGAACAGTGACTCCTGAAGAACTTCTGAGGCCAGGGGCTCCCTATGCCCGGAAAACATTCACTGTAAGTTTGTGTTTCACATTTTTATTTTCTGCTGTTTATTGCATTCAATTATTTATTTATTCTCCACAAAGGTTTGTGCAGTGTGGAGACCACTGCTTAGAATTTTAGCTATTAAATTTCAGGTGCTGAATTTGACCATGGTGTAAAGCTGTTCCATAGGTGATTTTTTTTTCAAGAGGCAACCGGACTTTTTTTAAAGACGTTTCGCTTCTCATCCAAGAAGCTTTGATCCAAGAAACAAAACGTCTTCAAAAAAACAACAACAGAAAGTTTTTGGGATAACCATGACCTGGATGATTGAGAATCTCCATAGACATGGTGTAAAGCTATTTTCGTTCAGTGGTGTAGAAATAACATGATTTTGAAGTCATCTGATAAATATGATTAACAAGATTAGGGCAATAATGTGTTTTTATGTGTCCAGCTGGAGATGGAGGTGGGGTGTCAGAAAGCTAAACAGAATTGGACTGGGTTGGGACTTGAATGGACACTGGCAGAAAATGTCAAGGAAGTAGGTTAGGAAAAAAGACAATGGCAAGTTGCTTCAATATCACTGTCGATGAAAACTACATGAACACAGACACGCAGTTGCCAGGAAATGAGCTGGACAGATATACAGATAGACCTTGACTTATGACCGGACACTTAATACCTGTTCAAAATTATGATGGTCCCTCCAAAAGGGACTTACAACCTGGTTTTATAGTTCCAATGTCACCCCGCATCATGGTGCTGTGAGAACATTTTTGGCACTCAGCAGCCAGCCCTATTTATGGCCCATAGTCATAAGAGCCATGGTGGTGCAGTGGTTAGAATGCAGTACTGCAGGGCTAACTCACTGCTCACTCCAAGAGTTTGATCCTGACTGGCTGAAGTTTGACTCAGCCTTCCATCCTTTTGAGGTGGGTAAAATGAGGACCCAGATTGTTGGGGGCAAGAGGCTGACTCTGTAAACCACTTAGAGAGGGCTGTAAAGCACCGTGAAGTGGTATATAAGTCTAAGTGCTATTGCTATTGCTTATAGTTGTGTGACCATGTTTTATGACAGTTTTGCTAGAAACTGATATTTACTTCCTGTTGTTGGGAAAACCCAGCCGATAGTGAACAATCGCTTCACATAACGACCGTGGTGTTCACGTATGACCAATGCAAAAAAAGTCATATAATTGGGCTCAGTCGCTTGGCGATCCACTTTACGACCATTACGACTTACAACCGTAATTGCTAGACTCAATTATGGTCGTAACTTGAGGACTACCTATAGATACAGTAGATACATATACAGATGTGCAGATAGATACATATATGCACGTATATTATACTGTACATGTACCCATGTGTATACAAACACATATGTATAGAAACATTTTGAACATGGGATACTTTGCAACTTAGAAGAAACACTTTATATGAATTTTATATGAAACGCTTTATATGAGCCGTGGTGGCGCAATGGTTACAATGCAGTACTTCTGCTGATTGCTGGCTGACTGCAGTTCAATTTTCACTGACTCAAGGTTGACTCAGCCTTCCATCCTTCCCAGGTCGGTAAAATGAGGACCCAGATTGTTGGGGGCGATAGGTTGACTCTGTAAACTGCTTAGAGAGGGCTGTGAAGCATAGTGAAGTGGTATATAAATCTAAGTGCTATTGCTATTTTCTGAACAAAGATAGCATATAAACTAACCTATAGTCGATACAGAATAAATGCTTCAGATTAGTTCTGCTTTTTAGTCTCTCCGGAGGAAAATTGCCTACAATTAAGCTGTGCTTTCTTGACACTACTTGGAATGCAGATTGAGAAAACACTACAGATGAGTTAATAAGGGCTCCTTCACAAACTGTTCACCTTACATTGTTGTCATTTTCCTAGCCCAAAAGTGGGTGTGTGGAAGCATTACTCCACAGTGTAAAGACAAGTTGAATCTGTAGGTAAATGTCTTGGATAATTTCCAGCAGATACACTGAAAGCTGGGTGGGTGAGTGTTTGTTTTTTAAAGGTAGATGAATGTAGTGTTTGAAGAAAGCAAAAAATGAACTATGCTTTCTCTGTCTTTAAGATGTTAATTGTGATTACTCATCAAAATAAGAATTGGAACATCTTCATATTCACCAACCCCCCTCCCTCCCTCCCTATTTTCATCCTGCCTTTATTACTTTATGAATAATTCAAAATAGTGACTATACATAATATTCCTTCCACCTATTTTCCCCACAACAACCCTGTTCAGTGGTTTTGTTTCAATGAGAGTGATTGGCCCAAAGTCACCCAGTCAGCTTTCATGCCTACGGCAGGACTAGAACTCATTGTCTCCTGGTGATTGGCCCAAAGTCACCTAGTCGGCTTTCATGCCTAAGGCGGGACTAGAACTCATTGTCTCCTGGTGATTGGCCCAAAGACACCCAGCTGGCTTTCATGCCTAAGGCAGGACTAGAACTCCCAATCTCCTGATTTCATGGGTACATACAGAGGAATGTAGTTGTATCTAAAAAATCTGTTCCAGAATAACCTGCTTTACCAAGAGGTTTAACCATTTTTCGACAGGAGTTAAGTGAGCCTGTAGATTTTATCCACTGTATCAACCGTATACAGTGGATAAACATCACTGTACCGAACAACAAATGCCATTTCTTTTCTTAAAGGAAGAAGAGAGAGAGAGACAGAGATGATTAACAAGATTCAGTGTGGCCATCTTCTTCTTTTCCTTTCAGATCATAGGTGATGCTGTTGGATGGGGATTTGTGGTCCGAGGGAACAAGCCCTGCCATGTGCAAGCAGTGGATCCCAGTGGGCCGGCAGCTGCATCGGGAATGAAGGTAACATGAATGAATGAATGCAGTTAAGCCCAAAGGTTGCTTTTCCAACCTTTGAAAAAAGGTTTTCAACCTTTGAAAAAAGGGCTTCCTTGTTTTTTCTTTGAAGAGGTTTCGCTTCCCATCCAAGAAGCTTCTTCAGTTCTGACTGGATGGTGGGGGAATGGAAGGATTCAGTCAGAGCTGAAGAAGCTTCTTGGATGAGAAGCAAAACGTCTTCCAAAAAAAAAAACCCAAGAAAATCCAGCTGCCTCTTGAAAAAGCACCCTTGGAACAACCATGACCTGGGTGACTGAGAATCGCTATAGACTTTTATTAATGCAGTTAAACTTCTTAATGGGGATGTGGTGTTGGAGCTCTGGAGGAACAGGGTTTTGAACTACTTTCATCTGGGGGAAAAAAAACCAGCCCATACCACCGGTATGAAAACAGCCCTATATGACAGCTGTCAAGATTGACTCGCACTTTCACTTTTCTCTTCTGTCATGCCCCTGTCGGAATCTGACTTGGAGGGGGAAGCCGAACAGCTGACAAGGAGTGGGAGTGTGGCTCCGTTGGCTGTGGAAGAAACTGGGGAAGGGCAAAGGCCAGCTGGGCAGAGCAAGGGAGAGGTAGAGCAAGGCAGAGGGAGTTCAGAGGAAGACCCAGGCCCACCCCATCTTCATCCTAGGGCACATGTTAGGAATGTAAGTCACCTAACAGTTGGGTTGGAAAATATCACAGTGCATTACTAAGACAGAGAGAAGTTTGTAAAGATGTCTACGAGTAAGCAACATGTATCATGTATGTACCTAAACTGAAATTTAATTTGTTATCAGTAAGGGCTTTAGTTAATATTGGTTATGTAGTAACCTTTAGGGGAGATAACTGTATAATAGAGAAAGAGGGTAAAAGTGTTGCTGCTACTTTAGAGAATGATTTATATGTGATACATGATACCCAGTTGAAGATGGTTAACTCGGTTTATAACAATGTTAAGCCACATGATGAATGTATACATTTACTGCATAGACGTCTGGGGCACATTAATTTCAAAATGTTCAAACAAACAGTCAACTTGTCAGAGGGAGTAAAATTAAAACCCTGTAGCAAGTACTTAAACTGTAATGCCTGTAGTCAGGAGAAAAGTAAGGTTATTCCTGCAAACAGACTTAATGGGTTTAAGACCAAAGAACCTTTAGAGGTTGTGTTTGCTGACATAATTGGTCCTAAGAAACCTAGTTTGGGAGGTGCCTGCTATGTTTTGAGTGTAAGGGACCATTACTCACGGTAAGGTTTCTGCTATCTCATGAGAAACAAAACAGAAACATTCCAAAATTTCTTTAACTGGCTAAGATTTGCTGAGAGAAAAATGAGGAGCAAAGTAATTACTTTAGTTACTGATAACGGGACTGAGTTTATTAACAAGAGATTCCAAACTATGCTAAAATTGGCTGGTGTCGAGCATAAACGTTCTGCACCTTACAGACCACAACATAACTCATTTATAGAATGAAGAGGGCAAACATTACAAGCCATGGCTCGCACTATGTTATCTGATTCAAATTTGCCTAAAACACTGTGGGATGAAGCCATAATGTGTAGCAATCATGTGTTAAACAATGTAGTTAACACAACAACTGGTGGATTGCCATTCCCTGGTTGGCATGGCAGAAAACCAAATTTAAGTTACCTACACACATTTGGAGCTCCAGCATGGGTGCATATTCCCTCACAAGTAAGACTGAAAGGGCAACATAGAGCTAGGAAATCAATTTCGTAGGTTACGAAGCCAACCATAGATCGTTTAGATTTTGGGATCCAGGCCCAGCTCATGTTTACTGTAGCGCTAGTGCTAAATTTCTTGAACACATTGGGTGGGATAAACTGGAACAGGAATCCAGCAATGATGTTATTATTGACACCCAAATAGTCCCTAAAGATGAAATAAGTAAACCACGAATAGCCAGGCATAGGAGGAAGTAGGGGAACAGGCACAGGAGGAGGTAGGAGAACAGGAGCAGGTGGCACAGGTGAGTCCACCAGTAAGCCCTGTAATACCTAGATGTTCAACCCGAGTAACACGACCATCTGATAGATATCAGGCTAGTGTTGTATGCCAAGTGAATACAGTTCCAAGTAATTATAATGAACTAAAACTGTATCTTACTAAGGATCAGGCTGCTCGGCAGGAAGCAATGGATAAGGAACTGGAATCATTTAAAAAGTTGGAGGTATACGAAAATGTTAAGTTACCATCTGGTAAACATGCCATAGGGTGTAAATGGATTTATAAGCTAAAGAAAGGTGTGGAGGGGACTGTTACCCATAAAGCCAGGCTAGTAGCACAAGGGTTCAATCAGATAGCAAACGAGGTGTTTGCACCTAGTCTGAAGGCGACTACATTACGAGCAGCATTAGTGTGGGCAGCTAAGGAGAAATACATTGTAAATCATTTAGATGTAGAGACGGCATATCTGCATGCACAGTTGCAACACACTATATATTGAAAGAAAACTTTAGGTATCAAAAATGATAATACAACTGATGGCTGCCCTGTCAAGCTAATTACTTCAGCTTGATTTGTTTGGATTTTTAGTTACAGTTTGTGTGTACCTTGTTTTGGACTGAATTTTCTACAGTTAAAGGATGTTCCTGAGAGAGTTTTCCTCCAGCCCAAAGGTCACCTGGACATTGGGGGCAAAGCTGGAAATAATAAAGGGACTCTTATTGCTTATTTGACTGTGTTGCCTTTGTGCCGTGCCCCAGGTCATCACAGCTTCGCTCACAGCTTGACAAAGTAAAGGGAGGGGGTTGGAATGGAATGCAAGAGTGGGGGGCATGGAATCCAAGCATCCTGTGAGACATTGCTCTCACCTCAAGGACACCCTGTGCCAGTGTGGTCGGCCGGTTCCCATAACAAAAAGAACAGAAGTGATTGGTGGACATAATGGATTGTGGGCGGCCCGTAGGGTAAGAGGGAATTAACCATGCTTGCTTTTTCATGGGAAACCCAGAGCTGGTTTGGCTTCTTCTGTGTCAATCTGGTTTATTCCGTAAAGTTTTATACTCGATAAAATAATGTCCCAGGAATGTCTTTTTCGGGATTCGCCAACTGGATAGTTGGCAACAGCTGCTCAGATTAATCAAATGCTCCTGCTAGGTTATCCTGGAGCCTCTCACCAAAATACAAGACTTGGAGAAAAGTTGGCGAGAATGAAAAGGGCAAGAATTTGACCACAGCCCACATTTAACCTTTGCATTCTGCAAGTGCCCTTGGCACTGAGACTGGCTTGTCTGCTCTGCTTTGAGATGTCTTCCGAGGCCGGCATATTTCTGCAGGATTTTTGTTTGCTGCCTTTTAACAGCATAACAGAGTTGGAAGGGACCTCGGAGATCTTCTAGTCCAGGGGTTCCCAACCGCCAGCCCGTGGACCGATCCTGGGCCGTGGCATGCCAGAAATCGGGCCATGCAAACAAGTGAAGCCCATTCCTCAGAATGCAGGCAGCACATGAAACCATACCCACTCCAGTCCGCAGAAAAACCTTTCTCCAGGGAACTGGTCCCTGGTGCCCAAACGTTTGGGGGTCGCTGTAATCGAATCCAACCGCCTGCTCTAGCAGGAGGCCCTATACCATTTCAGACAAATGATTGTCCAATCTCTTGTTAAGTGTTGGAGCATCCAGAACTTCTCAGGATAAGTAATTCCGCTAAATAATTGTTCTTAACTTTCGGGAAATCTCTCCTTAGTTCTCGGTTGCTTCTCTCCTTGATTAGTCTCCATCCACTGCTTCTTGTCCTGCCTTCAGGTGCTTTGGAGAATAGGTTGACTCCTCTCTTTGTTGTGGAAGCCCCTTAGATATTGGAATACTGCTATCATGTCAGCCCTGGTTCTTCTTTTCATTAGACTAGCCCGTCATGGCAAACCTGTGGCACGCATGCCGGAAGTGGCACACAGAGCCATCTCTGCCAGCACGCAAGCCGTTGCCCCAGATCAGATCCACTGCGCATGCATGCACGCCTCCCGCCAGCCAACTGATTTTTGGGTATCAGCCGTGCGGGGGCGGGATGCATACGGGGGGGGGGTCGTGCATGCATGCACAGGTAGTGGGGGGGGGTCACGTGTGGATTGCATTATGGGTGCAGGCACACAAGTGCACACTTTTGGTACACAACGACGAAAAGGTGCTATAGCCATCACCGGACTGGACAAACTCAATTCCTGCAACCTTTGTTAGGGAAAATTGCAATCTTCATTCTCCTCATGAACAGCGGCTCACACCTTGCACTCCTGTTGTTTGCATCATGTAGAACAAACACCTAAGGGAAGAGTTTGCCCTACAGCTCAGCAGACAGATTTTAAAAATTGTTGCTATTGTTGCTAAGCTGGCAAGAACTCATACGTGAGAAAGTCAGGGCTGCATTTTGCTTTTTAGAATGTGGCAGGAAAACCGATTTTTTTTTTAATTGCTTGTTCTAAAATATCTTTACACCATGGAGAAAATTGGATAACATGTGAGATGACATCATTATTCGCATGATGCAAATTCCATTCTTTCCATCCAGTTATGTTATTTGTGTACAGGTTGTCCTCGACGTAAAACAATTCATTTAGTTACAACAGCACCGGAAAAAGTGATTTTTGACTGTTTTTCAACATTGCCATGGTCACGTGATCAAAATTCAGCCATTTGGCAACTGACTCATATTTATGACAGTTTTCAGTGTCCTGGGGTGATGTGATCACCTTTTGCAACCTTCTGACAATCAAAGTCAAAGGGGAAGCCAGATGAACTTAACCACCATGTCACTAGCTTAATCACTGCAGGGACCAGGGTGGGCGTGACCAGCTCAACATCACTCGGGTTGGGGGCGCCTGTGGTGGCCCGAGTGCTCTGCCAGCAAAAACGGGCTCCCGAGCTCTGTTTTTGGTTGTGATGGCCTCTTGCAACCCTCTGCCAGCGAAAACAGAGTTTGGGAGGGCCTCATGCAGCCTGGGGTGAGCTGCTGGGGGTTCGCAGGG